TATACTCGAGTATATACGGTATCCTCCTCCATAGTTCACTAACTTAATAATGCTCCTTTTCCATATTTGAAACTATATGGCTTTAGTCAGTTAAAGTTCATGGAAATATCCATATATTTAACTAGCCAAATTGCCATAGTGTCTTATCCAGGCTGCCAGCTTAAGAGGTAGGATAACTTTATCATCTCTGATACCCCATTGAGATTTGAAAGTGTTAGGAAGTAGCACCAAGTTTTCCAACCTGGAGTTCTACAACATTTAAGACATGGTAGTTGTTGTGCAATTTATGAGAAGTTGGAACAACTGAAGTGGTGAAAAAATTGGCTCCTTCTAAGAACCTGAAAACCCACAAATAAAGTCCTATGTACTGTAAAAAATTTTCTTGAGCCTACTTTGAGGCTTCAGAGAACTATAAAGTCATATACAAAATGTCGGTTAAAAGAAGTAAGATGTCTGTTGACCTCAAGAGTCACAGATGAGGTGATAGATGAGTCAATGCACAGTTCTTAATATTATGACTGACAAGGAGAGTATTGAAACATTGTTACCATACTTTTGAACTTCTATCTTCAAATGCCCCCTCCCAATTTTTTGTGTTCCAGTTACTTCCATTTATATGGAATGAAGAGAAGATATGTATATATCCTTCATTCCACTCATATAATATCTAAAAATCATTATATTAGACAACTTCAAAATTATACATGAAAGCATCTACCAAGTACTCAGGACTAAGTATGCACCACTGCAGACCAAAGTATAGGGGAAACAGGGATGACAGTGTTCAAAAGAAATTGAGATAGTGAAATTCTTCTTTGTGTTAAACTCTGGCCTTCTAGCCATCTAGGTTTTCTGTGTTACCTCCTGAATTTGCTTGTATCCTTGGTTGCTGCAACTTACTTAGCCCTAGATCGTACTGGAGTCCAGAATTTATAAGTCGTCATAGCTATAAGTTGAGACCCAATTTTATGCCTTTTTGTGGCAGTCATTAAGTGAGTACCAACATTGTTAAGTGAACACAGTGTCTGTTTAGTGAATGTGGCAGTTAAGTGAATTCATGTATTTGTATCAGCATTCTTTTTGCTGGAAACTGGCTTTAAAGGTCCAGAAACCAACAAAAAAAATCATAAATTATGGTCACATGACTGTGGAATACTGCAGTTGGCCATATTGGAGCGTAGGTTGCCAAGCTCCCGAAATCCAGTCATGTAACTGTGTGTGCACTCAGAAGTTGGAACTGTAGAATTGGGTTGTCAGGATCTCTTGGGGATTCCATCATAATTTTAAACACTTGCTAAGCAACTGGTTATTAAATGAGGACTACCTGTACTTTTCTTAGCATTCCATAGGATTAAGTTGTATCAACAGATTGTGCCTTCTAGAGCTTTTATTAAGAGTGTATAGCTTGATATAACCTGTCTCTATTCAGAAGTTCAAATCAACAAAGTCTTCCGTGGTCCTGGATTGGCATGTGTCCAAGATACTTTTATGTGTCCCATGAATATATGAAAATCACCTCTGTAACGTGTTATAGGAATAAATGAGCAATTGTACCTGAGCTCGCCCTGACTTGTGGACCCATCTGTCCAGGTCAATCAGGTGGGTGCTGAGTCCTTTCCCCAACCGATTAAGAAATGCCAAATTAAGAGGGACCCCAAACAAAGCATAAAATACACAGAAGACCTGTCCAGCTACTGTACTGGGGGCCAAGTTCCCATAACCTACAGAAAGAAAAGAAATCAAATCTCTTAATGAGGCTCAATTTACATGAAAAAATATTTTATTAAGAGAATTCTGCTTATTCTTCTTTCATATCCTATTTTGATCCAGCCAAAATGAAACACTTACAGAATCTTTATTGCTTCTATGATTGAAATTATGGGGATTTTAACACTGAATTTTGGCTGGTTCATGCACTTTTTGATGTCCTGAGTGCCCAAAAGCAGATTTCATAAATACACAACTGATACTGTGTATTCTGTAGACAATACAATCATAGAAAAAAAAGTCACATAAAAATGGGTGTAGTTGAATATAATGGCTTTTACAATATACATTTCAAAGTCTGAAACTTTTTCATGCAGATTTGCAAACTGTTTTGTATCATCAGTCATACCTGACTCAATTTTTACCAAAAATATTATGGAAAACTGAAGAAGAAAGATTTCCTGGAGGGAAAATAACTCACATTACCTATAGTAGTGACCACAGTTCCAGCAAAGAAGAAACTATTGCTAAAGTCCCAGTTACTAGGATTGGTTGAATTTCCTTCAGGGTTGACTCCTTTTTCCCAGGCTTCCATAATGACCTGTCATGGAAACATTTATTAAAAAAGGGGAACAAAATGATTTTTTAATTGGGAGATTATAGTAACTAAGTAGTAAAATGCATCCAGTTTCCAATATCCACTATTGATAGTGTTGTGGTTTTTTTGTAGTAGGGCCCATGTTACTCTGCCAGTGAAATAGGACTGCTTGTAGGAAATGATTAGGCTGATCTGAAAGAGGGGATTAAATTTGTCATCAGTTTGGAATAATTGTGTAGCCACAAGAGATCCAAGTCTAACCAATCATCAATTCTGTTAACCTCTATTTAGTGCCAATTTAGTTTTGACTGTTAATTGTCCAGATTCTGTAAATATAGCAACAATAAACTCTTCAGTGCTTTGAACTGAAGTAATGTGTGCCTGACACTACTAGATGCAGTAAGGGTTGTACACAACTCACTACACTTTTTCAGTGAGAACAATTATAATTATATTTAGAGCTTGTAGAGAATTCATACTTCTCAAATGTTTACATGAATGAAAGCAAAATAATGTAGTTTTGAATTGTTCTACCAAATGCTGCTATGTAGTTTGTACCTTTCAAAAAATGATCAAACAGATGTTACTCTACAAATGGATAATATACATCTGTATAATCTATAAAAATAGATAAATTAAGGGAAAATATATATTGAAGTAGAATGGATTTAAGATTTTTTTTTTAAAAAAGACACTCAAAAGAATTAAAGGTGACAGATTTAACCATCCTAAGTAGATTTAGGAATCATTGGATTCACCGGTAGTGTATTAGCTACAGTGAGGCAATAAGAGGGATGCAGTACCTGTTTAATACCAGAATAATATAAGAAATGGTTTAGGAAAAGACTGAAACTATGGGAAATGGATGACTGCAAATAAAGGTGTCTTTAAAAGTATAATTAAGGAGTAATTACCAGGCCCTTACAATGTTAAGCAGGAGAAACAGGGTTAACCTCTTGTGACATAGGTATGTATAAAGAGAGATTCTTAGACTTTGTCCATGTTGACCTTTATTATGGTTTTAATTCTGTGTTTAATTTTGTCCCTTTTAAAAATGTTTTATGGTTTTTGTCTGTAATCCACCCAGAGTTACTTAGTGAAATGGGTAATGTCTAAATTTGATTAAATGAATAGGGTCAGTTATATTTACAGCAAAGTTTAACGTATCCACACCTCATGCTTGGATTACAGTAAAAGCATTATTACAGAGTGAGTTGTAATACTTAGACAAACATTTAGCAGTGTCTTGAAAGAAAGTATTGAGAACACATAAGGCCAGTTGTTGATCAGGAAGTTGTTGATCCCATAAAAAACTGAGTTCCATTCTTAGTTGCCTGCATTTCTCATTGTCTGAATACCGTCACTAGAATTATGGTAGTCTATAATGCATTTGCCTGGTATTAATTTATGATGATGATGATGATTGCAGTGCTCCAAAAGTATTCACTTAATTTTCTGTGTCCTTTAAACTGCAGTAAAATACTTTCCTGTGCTTGGTTCTGAATATACTTTCATGTGCCAACTGTGCTAGCAGCAATTTTGATCTTCTCTGCAATGCTTATGATGAAACTCTCCAATACTATCTTACGATCTACCTAGATGTTTCTTTCTCATTAGAAATTAGAGAAGTGCCAGCATACAAATTCCCATGCAATAGTTGGTGTAAACAGAGAATGGGCTACATTGAGTAAGGCTTTTGGGCAAAGTACAATAATATTAAGCCGAATATAATAACAAGGATTCCAAATGGAATGCCGATACTTGGCAAATGCATTACATTTATGAAGATTTATGCTGCAACTGAAATATCAGTGCCATCTAGTGTTTTTGTACAGTATCAACCAGCATTATCAGAGAAAACAATGCTCCAAAATGAAACATGCTTACCACAGAAAATTGAGTTTTCTTTTAACAACAGCAGCAAATATGTGGCATTTTCTTAATTTCCGTTTATGTTGTGTTCTGTTTATGTTGTGAACAAAATGTTCAGTTTTTTCAGAGGACAAGCTACATAGTTATCTTTGATTATAAATACATTTTGTTGGGAAAAATAATAATTATCACTTCGATCAAGTGCTAAACTATTGGTTTAAAGCAAGAGTCAAAGAAAACAAAATATAAAAGCTTCATATATATGAAAGGGTCAAGCCATTTTTCTTCAGAACTATCATTCTTTAAAAAATCAGTGCAAATATACTGTATATCTTTTTAAAAATTGCACCTTGGAGTTAATTATGGCATATGATATCTACTAATTCTTTTTCAAATATTCCCTACATTCTCCCATTTCTAGATTAATGCTCTGCACCATTACGTATTGGTTAAGAAATGGAAAATTGATTGTGAGATACTCAGAAATTTGGCACTGACATTTTTATGTTGATATTTTTTTGTTAATTAAGCAACATTTGTTTTTATTTTCTGTCATTTTATCTTAACTGTGTTTTTTTTTAATAGAGATGTTCAGGAGTAGTAGATGTCTCATTGGAAGACAGAATAACTGAAGCCTTCAATTTAGAATTTGTAAAACAAAGGAGATGACAATTCCCTCATGGATTTAACTCAAACTAGCTGCAGAAGAAAGAAAATGGAAACCTGTGAGCTCTTCAGTAACTAACCTGGAAGGCAAAACTAGAAAAACTCTATGGCCTTGTTATGACTTGTACAATGGCAGAGATGGGAGGTGCATTTGGATAAGAGGTGTGCCTGTTGACCTTCTCCAACACCTACAATCTCTGTGGGCAAAGGGATTCATACAGCTCTCAGACGTTACAATATGATGGAAAGAATCACAGTGGGGATAGGGAAGATAGCAAAAACAGCTTTAATTTCCCCCCCACAAGCTAAATGGAAGGAAAAAGCTTCATTTGAATTATTGCTTCATGAATTGTTAACAGAATACATAATGTTCATATGTCAGGGGTGGGTTTCTGCTGGCATTACTGTCAATTCGCTTAGCACATGCTTTGCAACAGCATGGGCGACCAGGAAACCGATTCAGGGTGTGGCGAGCCTGCCGTCCCTACTGGTTCAGTGACCCAGTCGCAATTTCCATTATTGGTTCACCCCGAACTGCTGTGAACCGGTAGCAACCCACCTCTGTCATATGTCTAGATCCAATTCACACATTTTAGTAATCCATAAGGGGGCTGTTTGGTTCTCTCAATATGCATTGTGGTTTGTAAACCAGGGATTATGTCTGATAGTTATGCATAAAGAAGGCTACCATAACTTGCTCTATATTTCATATCTGTCTATGGCTAGTATCAAAAAATTCAGAAATAGAACCGGTGACATTTAATGGTGACACCCTTTCCTTGTAGTATAGTATGTATGTCATAATGTAATAAGTTGCAATCCATGTTGTTTAGGCAATTGCAAGCTGTCACAGATATATCTCTTTGCTGCCATCAGATTTTTGTTTGTGGGTTGTAGGTTTTGCTTGTTTTTACAGTGATAAGAGTGTATCATCTTCTCAAGAAAAAATGGAGTTAATATTTCTTCCAGAGAGACAGTCACAATCTTGTTAGCATACTTTATACAAAAATGCCTCCCCTCCCACCCCACAATATAATCTGCTAGAATGAAGGAGTGTGCTGAGTTCTCAAAAATCCTCCACAATATTGTGGGGGAAATCACATTGCCGGGGGGGGGGGGGACTGTGGGAAGAAGCAGCAGAAGTAGCTTCCCCTTTTTCCCCCAAGTCCAAGGGGAGAGAAAAACTCCCTGCAAACTCCTGTTCATTAGGGGATATTACACCTCAAAAGAACTGGAGATCTAAAAATAGGATAAATTATTGGAGTTTAATGATCTATTCTGTGATATAATATGCTAAACTTGCAGTTGTAATATTATCTTCTACTGTGCTAAAAAGAGTTGGAAGTTGGTTCCTTTTTCTTCCCCTTTTCCCTCTTTACACTATATTTCTTTTCTTTTCCTTCCCACTCTTCCTAGTTTTCCATTACTTTTTTTAAATTTTTCTTTGTATTTTGATAAACCAATAAAATCAAAATAATAAAAAAATAATATGTAACCAACTCAGCCTAATCACCAAATAGTATCTAAATATTCGTAAATGGTGCAGTAGCTTGGCAGAGTGCAAGCCTATTTGTCAGCCCCATAGAAATCCCAAGAAAACTGCATGCACTGCTTGGCCTTAGTAGGAAGAGAAGAAAGGAAAGAGAATTGCAATTGGAGTGATGGGAAATTACAATATGCAGCCAGGAAAAGGTCCATACAGATAAACACTTATTCATTAAACAGACTCTAGGAGGAGGTCCTATTATAATAAAAGGGCTCTTCTATTTCTGATGCATTTTCATTGGATAATGGGAAGATACTTACAAAGATTGTATTATTTTTCAACAGAGATTTGGTGCTCTGGCTAGACCACACACAGAAAAAACTAAATAACTGATATTAACAGTGCTCAATATCAGGAATGCATATTAAATAGACAAACGTTCTCCAACTTTCTGACCATTTGTGTTTAGATTTGATAATCTTTAGAAGACAAGCTCTGTTTAAAATGACTGACCTTGTCAAGGCCAGCATTCTCTATGCATTAGCTATCCATTCCAGAGATGCAACTCCATGTTAATATTGGCTGTGTGGATAGACACCAATAATGGAAGGTTGTCCTTACCTGCACAAACTGCTCCAGAGCTTGCCGATCCAGGCACGTATAGTTTTGCAGGAACATAAGCTTCTTAATTTGGAACTGGTCTCGACTCTGGGCTTCTGCCTGCTTCTCTAGCAGCTGGAATACCATGGCTCCCAGGAGGAGGTAAAAGAGATACCCGAGCACCAGTGTCAGAGTCCAGCTAAGCTGCCGGTTGCACACGGTGAGGTAGGGCATGGCTGTTGATGGGCAGGCAGACCTGACCTAGTGCAGCCAAGTGTTATTCCATGGGTTAATGTTCTTCCTCCAAGGGACATAGAAGAATTGCACAGCTGTCTTTTCAGCACACACAGCTAAGACCCTGTTTAAACAGCTTGTGAGCATCAGGTCTAGACAACATGAGACTAAAGCAAACAGATTTAACTCCCACCTCCTTTCTTCAGTTGGGAGTAAAATCACACTGGTTTGTTGATGCATTTCTAGTAACAGTGATGTATTTTTGTTAACAAGTAAAAGATAGACAAACTCAGTATTTCTCACATTTGGGGATTGGCAAACTGGGCTAAAAGTCCTATAAATGGATTTAACTAGCACTGTTGGAAGTTTTTGTACTGCCAGTGACAAACTATAGGATAAGCTACTGTAGCAATCTCCAGCTTGATGTCTTCCAGATGTGTTGAACATCAACGTCTATAATTCCTAGCTTGAATGCTGCATGATGCAGATTTTCTTTTTTCTTTCTTTTCCATTTCCACAGTATTAGCAATATGGAACATCATATCATACAGCAGTTATATATCACTGGGCAGGAACAGGGCACAGCAACTCCTGGTGATATCGGAATTAGGAGCCAAATATCCTTCCAAAAATTGCATTTGAAAAGTTACATACACATAGGAAAAGTTGGCATAGAAGTAATTTAGAGCAACCATGTTTAAGTCACTTAAGGGTTGCTAAAACTCACAGATAAGGTGTCTTACCATCAGATCCAAGACCTGTGGAAATAGAAAACTAGAAGAGGAACTGAAATCCTTCCCTGCACTGGGCTCACAAGAGAGATTCAGGTAAACTACTCTGTTCCTCTCCCACCTGTTTTGAGCACACATGAAAGAGCAAAGAGCTAAATAAGCAATATGTATCCTAGTGCCAAAGTACAGTAGCAATGTGTCCTCTGTTATCATCTATGTCAGGAGTGCTTTGTTGCCATCTAGACATGTGGTTGCTGTGGGAAAGGGTTCTCTGAGTCCCCTTCGGGGAAAAGGGCGGCATATAAGTGCAATCAATTCAATTCAATTCAATTCACTCTGCATATTGAGTACACAGACACAGCTTCTTAGTGTGGCATAAGCCAATACCTCTTCACTAGGAGAAATACCACTGTATACTTCAATCTTCTATACAGTGTCTGTTTCTACATGGACAATAGGATTTTTTCCCACTACAGATGATGGTTGGGAATGTTTATTGTTAATTTAAATTTTAATAGAGCACCTGCCATGTAATACATCTCCAAATGGCACATAAAATTGGAAAATACCTTAACATGCAAAAACCTAAAGCACAAAATAATAAGCATTACAACACTTTTTCAAATATTGAGGTGAATACGGTTTCTTCATGTGCCTAAATGGTAACCAAGTTAGTATGATCTGGCTGAATGATTTCTAATAATTGAACTAGGCTGCAGGCCTTTAAGCTCTCCATGTTCCTCCTCCACATGGGGTTGAATAGCAATACAGTTAGACTTATATGCCGCTTCATAGGGCTTTCAGCCCTCTCTAAGCAGTTTATAGAGTCAGCATATTGCCCCCACAGTCTGGGTCCTCATTTTACCCACCTCGGAAGGATGGAAGACTAAGTCAACCTTGAGCCGGTGAGATTTGAACCGTCGAACTGCAGCTGCGACTGCAGAACTGCAGAAGGCATGAGTGAATGCAAAACTGTTTAATACATGAATGGCCCTGTCAACTTTATGAACTGACAAGAATCACCTGTAATATAATAAAATGGTATGTTGCCTAAATATCAACAACTCTTAAAGAAACAAACCAGTTCAATATTATGTGCAACTGAGGGAAATACTCCAGTTGTTTGCATACCTGAGAAGTCATAACATGTAGGTTTAAAAGACAGTACAGGATCAGCTCCTTAGGGCCCCAGATCTTGGTGGTCTGGTTTGTAAGTGGGGGCTTTCTCTGACTTGAAAGACCCTTATTCTTCAAGTACTCTGCTTTAGGGAGCCCTGATAAATTGTCAATTGTACTTTCATGATAGATAGATGTTCTTCAGGGAATCTCCAAAGAATCACACAATTCCTTATCCTGGGCATTTAAAAATTTTAAGCAGCTCCAGGGGCCTCGAAGAAACAGGGGGAAACAAATCAGGAATTTGCAATGTGGATGTTTTCACAACCAATCTACATCATATTTGTTGTCATTAATTCCTTTTGTTAATCATTTGGAAGTGTTTGAATGGAAAGGTAGTATGTAAATTTACTACAAGGAAGGAAAGGAAGGAGAAATCATGGCAGTGGTATTACTATCACTAGAGAAGCTTTATTTAGTGAAATCCAGCTTCTAGTGGCTATTAAAAACAACTCAGATTCTGAGATTCTTCCTTGAATGGCTGGCACTCCTTCATTCAATGTCTGCATATTACATTAGTCAGAATTTCGTAGTTAAAACCAAAGTCTGATTACTGATGTAGAAACAAACCCATTTAGTCAGATGAATGGCAGAGAGTTCTAATGTGTTTTGACAGGATTATTATCTCTAATGGTAGGAATAAAGTAGGATGTTAAAAGGATGTTAAAGTAGCAGGCACTGCTAATCAATTAGTGGGAAATAAAATATATCACAGAGGTGTTTTATAAAAAGAACAAAGACTTCTGCATAAGACATGTCAGGATATGGTTTTACCATCAGGTTTTAGTTGAAAAAAGATGAGGAGAAATATTTATTTTTAAGAAAACTATTGTCCAGGCAACAGAGAAAATGAATATGTCAGAGGATTACAAAAACGTGAGGATTAAAGTAAATCACACAGCCCTAAATGTTTACTCAGAAGAGCCTAACTCAGTGATGACGTATGCACATGCTTTTGGGGCCTGCAACCTGGAAGAGGAACTGCCCAGGGGGCATGCATCAGAGGTGGGTTGCTCCCAGTTTGGCCCGGATCAGCCAAACCAGTAGTGGTGATGGTGGGAGGCTCCACCCACCCATCTGGATGCTTCTGTGCATGCACAGAATGTCACACACACAAACCAGTAGCGCTGGGATTTGAAAACCATCTCTGGTATGCATGAACTAAAAATGAACTTCTGGTTTCCAGCACGTGCATGTGCACTGGCCAGCTAGTCTTCCGGTTTCTGTGCATGATCAGCTGGCCAACGCACATGCTCACACTGGAAAATGGAATGCCAGCTCTTCCAGTTTCTGGCACTGCCGCATATATGAAGGCCAGTTGATCACTGCATGCACATGCATGCCAGAAACCCAGAAGAGAAACAGGCAATGCCGCGCATGCCAGGCAACAAGGCTCCATTTGCCACACATGCCAGGTTCACCATCACGGGCCCAAATAATTCTATAATTAACAGGGGCTTCATTCAGATAAACATGATATAAATGTGCAACCTAAATGCCAAATTTCTTTCCCAGAGTTCTTGGTGTTCTCTTGTCATTTATTGCCAATGATTTAGATTTTTAAATTTAGTCAAGAAAGGTAAACTTTAAACAAAAGTAAAAATTCGGGTTTTATCCAGAAGTATATCATGTAACCCAGCTGAAAGGGGGAAATGTCCTCTGATGGCCTTAGATGGCATATCCATTTAATGAACATGAGAAAGTGTGAGTGCCAAAGTTGGTGAGACAAAACTTATCAAAACATAATACAAGCTCTCCCTATTCAAAGCTTAAAATGAGTACTGAGGGGTAGAAGAATGATACACAATTTAAAACTTGGGGCTATTGTAAATGGACTCGATCACTTGATTTTGCAATGCCTAATTTTCTCCACGATTACCCTGTTTCCCCCAAAATAAGACCTCCCCAGATAATAAGCCCAATTGGGCTTTTGAGTGCATGTGCTAAAATAAGCCCTCCCAAAAAATAAGCCCTCCCAGAAAATATTGCAACCTAGCAGCAGCTGTGAGGTGACCATGCTTGCCACCTCCTATACCTCAAAAATAATAAGACCTCCCCCAAAATAAGGCCAAGCACTTGTTTCGGGGGTCAAAAGAAAATGAGACCCTGTCTTATTTTCAGGGAAACACAGTAGGAATTTTGGATCAATAATAAAAACTATATGCCTTTCCAAGTATTGTCCTTGACTCTGCGGAATACTGGGTCCCTAGAGAGGAATTTAATACAAAGCATAAATTGACCAATGTCATGAGGGCACTGAAGGTCAATGTCTATTAACTTAGCTGGTGGTGACCGTGGCATATATGGAAGACAGCAACTTGAAATGTTGTCTGGGTTTCTAGAGAAAGTTGTTGCTGTGCTCTGAGGAAACTCTGACAGGAAGAGTGAATGAGCACTTTGATTTGGGAAGCCATGAAATTCCATTTTTACAGCCACCAAAGCTGCTTTGTAGTAATAATAGACATTAAGTGCTATTTCTAATATATGTTTAGCATAGAGATTGTTTCGTTTAATACAAATATCTCAGAGAAAACTTTGGGGAAACCTCAGCCCTCCAGTATGTGACAGTTTTCCTTTTCACATAGTCCTCCACTAAATAGCCCTTGTCCTTCAATGTTAAACCCACCTCCTGGGTACAAAATATTGCCCGCTTCTGCTATAAAAGTACAGAGGAGGAATACAAATGTTTTGCTCAAGGAGGAGGGATTAATAATAGCTGCCTTTGGAATCTGCATGTTTGCACCTGCGCGTTTGTTCATTATCCTAACATGTCATGATGTTTTCTTAGCTTGGCTGATGCCTCTGCATTTCTGCTAATTCAAGACATCATTCATTCGTTCAATATCTATGGCTGCCCATCCTAATGAGTCTGGGCAGTTTGCATGCTCATATCATGGAGGTTATCCCAGATCAGCCTTATGCTGATTGGCTTGGCTTAGTGAACATCACACAGCCTTTTGGTGTCTGCTTTTTGGCTTGACTTCATTGACAGGTCAATTTTATCTCAAAAGGCTGTATACGAGAATTTTTAGGGACATTATGCCATATTTTCACACATAAATTGATCCCAACAAGGTGAATATGCTGTTTTTC